CTCCCCTCCCCTCCCCCCATTCCTATCATGGAAATCAGGCAACTGCCTGTGTTTCACCATCTAATAGGCACCTCAGCATTATACCTCCTGACAGACTAAGCAGGCAAGCAAATATCAAGGAGGGTTTAAGATTCCCTTAGCCACTATCAGAGCTTTCTTAGGAAAGTCTGCTCTACCTTATTTGTCTATGGAATGAAACTAGGATAACTATCAGATTTTGAGACTCTTGTATAGTAAAGGTCTACAAGACTTTGCCACTGGACAGTAACACTAAGCATCAGAAAGATACTATTACCATTGTTTTGTACTTATGGGATAGGAAGATATCAGATAAAATCTGGCTTAAGCAATTCAGCATATACTGTTGTCTAGCTAAGTAGATAGGTGTAATTCCCCTTCACACTCATGAGAATGCGTTCTCATGACATTTGGAAGGGCAAGATGTGCCATATTTTGGCTGCACTCTCCGTGAATGGAAAATCCTCTCAGTGCGAGGAGACTGGTGTCTGCTGTACACACCCATCACACAAAGCAGAAATTCCTCTCAATAAGGCAAGTGAGGCCCAGGCAATGCAAGGGGAGGAAAGAGACCTACAAACAATAAGGAAAGCATCTGGCTCTCTGTTTACTGGAGGGAGGGTAAAGTCAGACAGACTGCAGCTACAGACCAGAGGCTGCATCTCTCTCATGTTAGAAATACAGTATCTGATCAATTCTCACTGCCTTGGATTTTCAAAGGCTGCAAATGAGATAGAAGACATATCTTGATTTCTAAACCACATCTTAATGAAATCCTGGAAAATATTTGTGCAGGGGGTAGGGAAAGGACACCTTCTGGTTCAGAAATTTCATGCCCTAATGAAGAATCCCTTTTCAGTATGTGAACCAGCCATCTCCTAAGTGCAGCACTAATGGAGGTTGTGCTGTTGTCCTTCCCTAGAGACAGCAGCCAACACTACTGAAGCTTCTCACGTAGCAACCAAAGCTCCAGAGCCAACATTAGCTGCTTGTCACTGCCTTGAACACACACCCACAGGATACAAGGCAAAACACCCTCAGTCACCTCTGTGCTGTAAGAGACAGCTGCAAAATCTACTTCCTAGGCGAGCTGTGCTCGTGTGTGGGAGGGGTAGTGTCTGATGTCACCTTCATAGGTGAAAAGGGATAATCCCACACACCATTAAGGAAGTAGTACAACTTTGTCTTGCTGTGACCCATATCCACAGTCCCCACAGAAAGCTCAATTAGAAAACATTTCTGCAAGCCAAAACAGATATTTGTAAAAAATAAATAAATAATTGTTTTTAAAAAATCATGATTTTTGAAGCTGCAGCCTCATCCCCCCACAAGACAAAATCAATATATTCTGCTGTTCAGTGCCTCTGCCTATGAACCTTAAATATTACCAGGGAAAGAAATTGCAGGAGGCCACCCTGCAAGGGCTATTATTTACTTAAAGAAACACCCACCTAAGCAGAAGGAAACTCAGTAGTATATTTTTGTTCTTTTCTGCAAAGATCTCACTAAACAGGGGGTGTGAGAGAGCTACTTCTTGAAGTACAGGAATCCCCCAATTAATTGTATGCACCAAAATGTCTCACAACAACGTATTTCTTAAGGAAAATCTCTTGCCTTTCTCTACCCCTCCAAACCTCTTCCCTCAGTACAAATCACCTTTCTCAAATTCCAAAAAGGATTCATCACAAACACAAGACAGCTCTGTTTCAAGCACTAAGCCGCTGGCACCCCAAGGACAACTGTTGGAGACAGGGGCTTGTCGACCTTGCTTCAGCACTATTGCTGTGTTTACAAGGAACTGAGTTGCCAGTTAAGTGCTGGGATCAAGATGTGCCAACCGAAAATATAGCTTGGTTAAAAAACACTCACATATGACAAATAATGAAAAACAGGCAACAATATTTGCTTTGAACAGCAGAGGAAGAAAAAGAGAAAGGGACGATTAAAGTGCTCCACCATGGCTACACAGGCACCATGAGAAAGCAGAAAATGCAGGTCAAACACCTCCTCCCCTATTGCCTGAAGGAGCCAGCAAGTCAGAAGCAGACAGCGAGGAAAGGGAGGGGGAGGGAAGGAGCAGCTCAGGGGAAGCTGTTTCAGCACATGGAGGAGGAGGAATGGAAAGAGGGGAGGCAGTGGTGAACTCGCACAGGAGTACCGACACGCGCACCCGCATACACTCTTTCCTGGCACACCAACTGCTTTGAAGCGGGAGCTATCGTCCCAAAGAGGAATTTTCCTATATTCTTGCTAAAGGTCCTCCACAAAAGATCGGACTAGCTATTTCCCACCAACACCTCCTGCACCGAAAGAATCCTGTCTGGGAACCGAGATACAGTGCATTCATTAGATTCCCTCACCCCCCTTTCCCCCTTCCTCCACCCCCGCCCTTTCCACCACCACTGGCTCCACCAGACCCCCAAATCAGACAGGGGGAGGGGGAGAACAAGACTGCCATGACGCCCCGCTCTCCAGCTCTTGGCCCCGAGCAGACTCATCCCCACCCCCACAACAAGGAAGGTGGGGGATGGGTGGGAGCAAAACGGAAAGCAGCCCTACCTCGCCCCACCCCCTCCCCGACTTCCCTCTGTGCGGGGCTCGGGGGGGGGTTTCCCCCCCCCCCCCCCCCCCCCCCCCCCCCCCCCCC